GACACATCGACTGTTGTTACCTTACGTCACACGTCGAAGCGCCTGGTAATTTATTACGGCAAACTTTTATCTGGCAATATACGATATTATTATTAGGTGTTTTTAATTAAAACGAATTATGTTAATAAATAATATTTTGTATCGAAAATAAAGATAGCAGGTACCTTCGGAATCAATACGAACATTTTTACGTAAAAGAATTATTCCTAAACTAAAATTCACAGAGTTTTGGAAGAACAATAATTTTATATATCATTTTTTACCATTTTTTATTTGTTGGTATATTCATTTATTTTAAAATTTTAAAATGACGGTGACCTTGTGAAGGACCCGAACAAACCTACAAAAATGTTTTAAAGCTTAGAATTACTTCAGGTCAAAGTTCTAGTCAAGAGAAATACATTAATTTTCGCCAGTTCTCTTCGTATTCGGCCTTAATGAGGAAGATTCTAAAGGCAGCATTTTAGCTCAAATTATACCGATACATGATGTCATCTGTTCCATGCTTCAATTTATTAGTAAGCTTGACCATTATTACATAACTTTCAATACAGCAATGGTTCATTTTCTAAGCTTAGGCAGTTTTTGTAAATAACGAGGATAGATTCTGTACCGTGTGCGTGCGGAGATTATATTTTTTGATGTCATAAGTCTGTAACACCCAAAATCGGGATAATTGTCATGCCGATCATGGGTAAATCAGGCTGTGTCCACGAACCTAGAAAATCGGGACACCCCACGCAAATTGGAACACATGGCACCCCTAGCACTACACAATACAATACATATACAGCATTAAAAATTATAAAGGTGACTACTTAGTGCTAGATTGGATTCTTACTTTTCTTGTTCATCTCTGGTCCGATAATCAGTTGATGCGACTCTGAAAAATTGTTGTATGTGTCACTGAGCGAATTTAACTTAAATAATGATCAATAAAAAATAAAAGTTTTACCTTATTCTTCGCAACTCTTCGTCGGTGATTAATTCAGATCTAAAACAGTAATAAAGAAGAATTGGGTGTTGGTACCATTAGGTCGGCCCTGACTAAGTATTTAATTACCAATTTGGTGTACTTATTTTTGTTTAAAAAAGTGCTTTGATTTTAATGAAACTAAATATTTGTTATGCAATTATTTTGGTGTTTATTTTTTATTTTCCAGATGTCCCTGGATGACGTGGAACACTAATGTTTAGTAGTTTTTGTTAGAATAAAAACCAATAAATATCACACAAAAGTCCAATTCCTTTTATAAGAGAAAATTTTTGCAACCCTGTTTTACAGGCTCTTGGTAGAGCATTTTTTCTACAGATTTCTCGTCTATATCTTCACTGCCAAGAACTTGGTAAGCAAATAATTATTTTTGCTGCGGATAATTTAACTTTAGAAACAACGTAAATTGCAACGGTAATGACGAAAGTGAATTACAGCTTAATTAAATGGTACTTCTTATATCTCATTGGGATTGCCATTGCATTTGGGATTGCCGATCTCATCTACATATTACATATATACTACATAGTACATCTCTTAAGTATTAGTAGGTTTTTTAAAATTATAACCAGCTACTTACTTTCTGGCGCCTTCAAAAATATTGAATTTGCCAACACGTTTAGCAATGTTTTTTACTATATCTCCGGCAAAACTAACACGATCTACATTACACCTAAAGAAACCAAAAGCATATTGTTAATTTGACCAATGTAAAAGCGTCAACTTAAATATGTTTATTATTTGAAGGTGCTGTACTTGATATATCTTCGAATTTCTTCTTCATCGTCCGAGTTAAGCGAATTCACTGTAAAGAAAAAATTCAACTATTGGTAAGATGGTTCAAATATTTATGCTAAGCAATGAGACGATTCAACTTTATAAACTTTTCACAATCTGATTATTATTTAAAATTGTGAGAATTAAAAAAAAACTGTGATTAAAAATGAATTATAGTCAACCAAATCTAAGAAATACCTTTTGACGTTTCACATTAATCATTCCGCAATAACTTTGCACAAGCGTACTCATACGATTTACAATAACCCTTTACCTAAATCCGAATGATTTTGAAGTTATCAATATTTAATTACAGCGTGTTTAATTTTTTATCGCTAATTTAAATTCGAATCTTTCAAACAAAGCAAAATATTAAAAAAATAACCAGTGTCAATATTTTTACTTGACGTCGTTTCAATGATATGTCGCTATGTTTGGATGATTAAAATTCATTGACATGCGAATAATCGGCAAAAAGATTCGAATAATCTTTAAAAATATTCAAATTATCGAATCATAATGTATTATTTCTTTAATTAAATCTGGGGGCACGGCAGTGCTCCCGCCAAGTCGAGCAAAAAAAGCGGCACGGCCGTACCATCTTTTCTCGAAGCAATTCAGGCCATTTTCGACCCCTTATAACTTCGTGGTCAATAAAACTAGTAGCCTGAGTTTTCAGCAACCGAGTAAGCATAGTATAGACATGGTATATTTCAAATTTCATTCAATTTAAACTTGTAGTTTAAGAATTGTAACCAGTCAAAGTTTCTTAATTTTGTCACTCACTGACTGACCGATCACTCTAAGGCACTTCTAGCAAACATAGAAGCTTCAAATTTAGAATACAATTAGTGTTTAGTGTATAAATCAAGGAAAAACTAAAACATTTGTTAATTTATGATCAGTTTTTTAGATACACTAACTGCATAAATAACTTTGTAATCCCATATAAATATATAGAATTACAAAGTTACATTTGCAGTGAATGAATCAGTGTATTTGTATATGTATTACAGGTGTACATAGGTACGTTGTTGGTACTCAAGAAGTAGAAGGTACCGGAAAGGTAAAAAAATTAGGACTATCTTATATACAAAAAGAAATGAGATACCATTAAAAACATAACTTGTAAAAAAACCAAGTCTCGCAACTCAGTTCTTCTACCGTAAAAAGTTGTGAGATCCATGTAATACCAAGTCGGTTAATTTATTCAGTTCATACTTAAGGGTCCTTCTGTTTTAAGTTATTACGTAATTAGCTTATCTAACAACATTTTATAGTGACCATATCAATTTTAAAAGTCTTTTATGTTTTAAATATTTTAGATTGACTTGACAATCTCATCAAATCATCAATCAATCATCAAATTGATCTCACAACTTTTTACGTTAGAAGGACTGAGTTGCGAGACTTGGTTTTTTTACAAGTTATGTTTTAATGGTATTTTTATTTTTAAAATTCCTTAAATTACATGAATCATGAATAAAACAAGTTTAGGTTTTTTGCTTTGTCAACGTAAAGGACAATGGCGAACTCCTAAATAAATTTTAGTTGACCCTTTGTTTTCAAATGCAAAATATGTAAAAATATAGTTTAAGATCCTGAACATCTTCTTATTCGATCATACTACTGCAAGAAGTCAGGAATTAGAGATATTCCAGTTTAAACAAAATACACATCAGACTAGGATGTATGGTATAAAACGCCTTAACTGGCAAATCGCTACAACAAGAACTAGTCAATATAATTTTCATATATATATTTATATAGGGTGGTTACTAGCATAGAGCGAATCCTTAAAGATCACATTAGTATATAATATATAAAACAGTTTTCTGAACAAAATACACGTCAAACTCGGATGGATCTTATAACATATAAGATATTTGTCTGTCTTAACTGACGAATCGTAACAACTACAACAACTAGTCAATTAAGTTTTGAATTGTGTATGATTATTTTTCTATAGTAAAATATTTTATTGATATCTGTAATGATGACTTAAGTAGACACTTAATAATTCCATCACCTATTTTTTTTTGCCATTGTCCTTTGTGTAGGCAAAAAAACTCATGTACAAGGCCGCACTGAAAAAACCACTACGTAATTTCAATCTCCCGCCATTACGCAAGCTTACTGTGCGTAATTTTGTGTTTGTCTTCTTATTTTGTGACTCGGCTTTAACTTTTTGGACTGTTTCTTCTATATTCATTGAAGCATGTGCTCATGTCAAAAACGATGATTTGGAAAAAGTGGTAGAAAAACAAAAAAAAGATTATGGATGACTTTGAGAGTCATTAATTTTGACTGCATTATTCAAAATCAAATAATAATTAATCTAAACAAGGATAGTTCAAGTATTTGTACTGAAAGTGATTGAATAAATTTATTTTGAATCTAGTTTCAATCTAAAACTTTTATAATTGTGCCTCTAGAAATAAGCAGTTACGCAAACTATAAATTATTAATAACTAAATAATCGATATCGATTTTTTTAATTATCGAATATTGTACGTTCCCATTTTTTGGTTGGCATGCTTGGTGCAATAAGTCTGACAGCTGTCAAAAAGTATTTATTAGATTTGGTTGACTATAGTGATGGTAAATTTAATTACGGTTTAATCTTGGCCACTAGCGAACACTAGTCGATGGCTTGTTAATTATTATTGTATGCTAAATCAGTTTAATTTCTTACAAGAAATATCATCGGAGGCATGAATCTCGTCGAAATTAATCATTTCTGAAACATATGAAGTCCTCGCTTTACCGATGATTTTGGGTTGTTCTTTCATTAAATCTTCTTCAAGACAGTAATGGCCTTTCAAGAATCTATGAATAAAGAATGCGAATTTTATGTATGTACTTTACACTGAAGATGAATACGGAACGAATTTCATAAAAACAACGCAATAAAAAAGACTTTCTTTTTAAATATTATTACTTTATTCTGTATTCGTAACTAGGTACTTATTCCGGTTTTTCAGCAATTAGAAAATAACAATTTTAAAATAATTTTATAATTTGTCATAAAGTAATTAATTACATTTTCAGATGGTACTGTAAAGGGCTTTTAATTCAAATTAAAAAAAAAACTGTCCTCTTTCAGTTGAAAAATGAGATATTGAACTCGAAAGATCATCTGTTTGCTGTTGTTCATAGGCGGCGATCAACACTTACCATTACGCGAGTCGCAAGCTAGTTTTTCGCTTCTTTTATACTCTTTACACACATCTGTATTTGTCACCGGTGAAACTATTTTATTACTCGTAGTACTTACCATGTAATGGCGGTGTAAAAATATCCACTATTCCATGTCGACCCGTGGCTGTCGTAAGAGGCGACGGAGGGCACAAACCAGGAGATGGACAGGTGCTGCCGCCTATCCTAACTAATAATAATACCTGCTAAGCTGCTATGACAAATATCCCTTAATAAATAAAACGGTTTTATATACTATTTTACGTATTTCATCGCATTTAACTTATTTGTAAAACACGACGTTTCGGTTGTTTTACAGCGATAGAAAAAACCGTGTTTAAAGAATATATGAAAGACATATGAACCGTGAAGCACCGACGCTACGGGAAATCTTCAGTTTGTAACACAGATTACCTCCTAATAGATACCGCATCATGGAATATTTGTTCTGTTTCGATTTCACCAAATTTCGAGTTGCGGGGGACGTGTCAAATGCGCTGTGATTGGATAATTCAAGGTTGAACTTAGAATGCTCCGAACCATAGTGATGGGACAGGGTTAGGACGTTGATCGATAAATTTGGGATTTATTGATTATTGATAAATAATGAATTGATCAATTTTTATTTGAAATTTATTAAAAAGTAAAACATTGTATATAAATAAAAGAATATGTATATATATATATATATATATATATATATATATATATATATATATATATATATATATTTTATGGTTCTAAGACAGAGAGATGGACGAATACCAAAGTAGTTGTTGCCTAATCCAACAGTTGCATAGAGACAGTCGACCCGATTCCAAGATACGCCGATTTCACTCGCTCACAAAATACGTTTCTTAACCAATTAATAATGGAGAACCCGAGCCGTCTTTAAGCAGTTGATTCATGTATTGGAAACTAGGTCTCTTTCAGAACGCATTTACATACGGGTGTGATAACGTGTGGTTGTGGAGGAATCTGGCAAAAATTTGCCAAATATATAATTATTACTTTTAATGTACACCATAAAGTAATATGTACTAAAGTAATTGTTATTTTACTATTTTTCGTTGCCTACTTTTTCATTATTATTTTTAATATTACTTTTACCGCTCGTCTAAGTAGTTTTAGTACTGGTTTAAATCAGTACTAAAAATATCTAGGTTAGATACAATTGTTAACGTTAATACAAGAATCTTAACGTGTGCTTATTGCAAAACAAAAACTATCCGAGGATCCATTAGTAAGGTTTATATAATATATTATAGATATTATAATACTAGTTTAAATAACATCCACAGATAAAAACAAAAAAGGCTCATTCATTCCTTCCTTCATACAGATTTCATTTGAAGCAAGGTTCTGTTACTCTAATTACACTGGATATGCTTAAATAATTATTTATTAATACAAAAATATATCATAAATTGTTATTACCTATGACGGAACGGTGAGAGGTTGTTTGTTTGTCTGTTTGTTTATTTGTGTGTGTGTGGAAAGGAATGTTCCCATTTATTTCCATAACTGTTTAAAGAATTTAGATACAGTTTTCTCTATAGGGTTTGTGATTCACAGGGGTGCTGCAATAAGCATATTTGTGCAAAATTATGTACCCATTTATCTTCCAAACGGTTTGACCGTTTTCTGTAAGGGTTTGTAGTTCATTAACAATGGTTCTTAGATATGTGTTATGGTGTTGACTCGCTTTGCAATAAAAAACGTTCACTCGTTGTAGCGAATTTTTCCCTGAGACGGCTTGACCGATTTAGATGCGGTTATCGATTTCACATAGCATTAATAAGCTATAACATGACTATAAGAAAGTAATAATTTTTTTAATAATTAAAAAAAATCGCGTTTAACTAACTTATGGTTAAATTAAAAATTTAATTTAACCATAAGTTAGTTAAACGCAATAAAATCCATATAATTGTATAGTTTTATTCAATGTGTAGTGTTCGCGTAAATTTAAGAAATTAGATTACATGTACAAATATATATATATATATATATATATATATATATATATATATATATATATATATATATATATATATATATATAATTTACGCGAACACTACACATTGAATAAAACTATATAATTATATGGATTTTATCGCGTTTAATTAACTTATGGTCACGGGGGGGGGGGAGGGGGACTGAGATGTTTGACATCTCAATATCACAGTTAGCCCGGCTATCTTCAGTTTTTGAATATTGATTTTAGGTCCCGATCTACATAAAACGAACTTTCAGTATCTTGAAGTCTTCCAGTGGTATGCTTGGTTTAAAAAAGTAAACGGTGACCAAACAAATATCGACTTAAAATCACAACACTATCGATACACGTGCTGTCGTTAGACAAAGACAACTATTTTAATTTACGTAATGAGTGAAAGGGACATTTCAAAAAGACATCAACGGGTGCTCAAATGATATCACTTTGCGAGATTATATATCCAGTGTAAGTTGAACTCCAGTGCATTTGATATAGGTTAACGTGATAAGAATAAATTTTACTTACCGATGAAATATTATGCCATCTTTTTGATAACTAGATGTCTTAGCTGACTTGCCACACCATTTCACAGCATAGGAAGCCATTTGTAATGTATTTTGGACACAAAATTATTTTAAAATTTTCAAAAACGCGGACGTGCCTACGGGTCACAAACTTGGTCGACACTGATATCGTGATTCTTAGCGTTACTTCGTATGCTAGCTACAGCAAGTATGTGTTGCGCGCGTTTGTGGTCCGGTATGCGGAATCTATTAGGAGGTAATCTGTGGTTTGTAAGCATGTTCAAGATCGTCCCCGTCGTTACATCAGATTTGATAAACCACGAATACTCGTAATAGAACCTAACCAACGATTTTTCGTGAGGCAATCGAAAAGATGGCTGGGTCCTGCTTTTTGATTGGGAGCCTATAATTAATACAACGCCGAGAATGAAAAATAAGTTAAATTAAACGCGATAAAAATGGCCGAGCCTTATGTTCAGCTGTAGATTTTTAATAATGCTAACGGTAACGTTAACGGAATTACACAAAATACTAGTAAGGAGTTCGTTGTGTTTTGTTTAATAGGGTATTACACCCATTTTCAAAAAGTGTTTTAAATCAATCCTAGAGTAATAATGAACCACTATAATTTTTATATAAATTTTTATAAACCGAAAAGTTCCATAAAATTACTTTATATCTATCGTTTTAAATTTTCGCGTGAAAACACTAGCCGCCATGCTGTTCTTCTCGTGACGTCACTGTCCTAGAATTTTGCTGATTTTGCAAAGGAATAAGCATTGAGGTAGTACATTATACTTCAATGGGAATAAGATACTTTAAATGTTTAATATTAAGTTATCATCTATATCATTGCTGTGTTGTGCCTGAATGCAAAAATACGGGCATAAGAACGCCGGGTAAGTTATGGATTCAAGTGCCAACTGGTTTATATATAATAAATTTTTGGTTAAAACTGCCAAGACGATATCCGAATACATTGTCTATAAAAACTAGAGTATTCTTCTGTGAAGATCATTTTGATGTAAGTATGACTTATATTTAACTATCGTTTATATAAAACAAAACACCATGAGGTGAAGGGTATCGAAAGTCAAATTTGTAATAAATAATGTTATGTAGATATTATAACTAATGATTGCTAATGATTGTAATTATAGATAAATTAAACTATGATAGCCACTAAACTATGTTTTATCAAAATACACTTTGACCTGGTTTTGTGTTTATGTATAAACCACAGAAACCTAAATAATAAGATTTAGATTTCTGTGGTATAAACGCAAGTTGGTAATAGGTACTTACATTGATGTTTTAACCTTCCTCAACTCAGCAGAACAAAAATTGGGATTGCGTACGAGATTAGTACTTTCTGCTTTTACGAATTCGTCTTACATGATGCATTTTCAATAACATTCGGAATAAATCTCAATAATAGTAATGATAACTTGAATAATTTCGAAATAACACAGCACTTTAGCTAGTTCTCTTAATCATGACACAGAACACTAATACCCTTAGACGGGATCAGTGACGTCACGACAGTATTTAATATGGCGAACAGCGTTTTGCAGATTTTAGGCACAGACGAAAAAAAATATTCTTAAAATTGAAATATATTTATAACGCAGTTTTTTATTTGTTTACTTTTATAAAATCGATCATAAATATATATTTATTAATTTTTTGAAAAATTCCCTATTGTGTGTATACACAAGAGAAAAACATTTATTTAAAAGCATTTGGCAATGTGATTTTAATTTTGTAGGACAATTTAGAATGAAAGCAATTAGTGCTAAATACAATAAATGAAGCCCTGTTGATGGCGATGTAAAAAATCCATCACCCAATTTCGTCCCGTATCGTGAAGTCGCAAGAGGCGAATATGGAAAATGCCAGAAAAAATCTTACGGTTTCCAACAGATAGCGGTATAAATGCCTTTCAGCTCTGAGGACTAAGATGGAGTGCCTCTCAGCCTGTTTAGCCTTCAGACCGAAATATGGCACTGCAAGTGCTGCTATTTGGCGACAGAGATAGGTAAAAAACTGGCACCTAACTAGACGAACTCCTAAGCAAAAAGAGTGTCTTACAACCCAGTAGATAATAATAATCATAAAAAAATCATTAGGATCTCGTTTATGGCTGATGTAATAGACCGGTGACAGGCAGTAGCATAAAATACGCCTGGTACTAAGATCGTCAATCCGATCCTGCCTATTGATGATAAAGGCAAATCCTCCCTACAAAGAGGAAGCACATGACCTTCAATGGAGTTTAAAAAACCGATGATGATGATGACAGTAAATTAATTTATTTCGTGCCATTTGATTTATACGTAGTTTATAAAAGTACAATCTATGTATATCTAAAAGTACAATCCTAGGTATATATAAACTGATTTTAGCAATACATGTATAAATACTTACTTTTTTAAATCATGAGTGGAATCAATCTCCCCAGGGTAAGGCACGTCTGTCAATGGAATGTAAAATGGTATTTCTGGTTTTACTTTCGAGTGTAAACTTGGAGGTGCATCCAAAGATACTTCTGCTTCATATTCGTTTTCCGATTCATATAATTCTACATCGAACTCTTCGTTCTCCTGCTCGCTTATAGTTGATGAATGTTGTTGATTGTCTGTATCACTTTCTTCTATTTGTTTTTCTATATCTTCTTTCCTTCGTATAAATCTGTTATACGCATTCAAGGTTTTTCCTTTTAATATTTTTTTAATAAATCCAACAGACTGATTTCTTTGACAAATCGTGTGTACCTATGTGTATTTACGAGTATTTACTACTTTTTGCAAATTTTTGCTGACCAACCCCACAATTTTCAAAAGACCTTTGTCGAAGCTACGGAAATGATTCCGCAGCTCCACCAATTGCCTCAAGGCTTCTTCCGTTTTTTTTCAGTATAGACCATCGAGAGAGAAGCTCTTTATTCGCCTCTACATTCGTACTCTCTGGTGAGATGATTTCTCACCTACCTAGCTTAGATAATATGGACAACTCTATAAGTATTTTGCCATTTTTTGGATTGGACCCTTATAAAATCACTTTTTGTCTGTCAGTCCGTCTGTCAAGTCCCTTTTTACCAGCAACGGGTAGAGCTATCAAATTGAAATTAAGAATAAATACTAAGGTCAATGGTGCTTTGGTGGCGTAAAAATTCAAGCTTCTTTGTCAATGTAAATAAAAGTACGGTCGTATTATATATCACATATTTAAAATTTTGCCATATATTTGTATAAGACTTTGCTTTTTGGCAATGCAGGTCACACGGCAGCACAATTTATGCCACGTGTAACGGTCGGATAACGGTATCGAAAACAGGCAAAAAAAAAAGAAAGACGAGGCTTCCGTTTCCCAGGATGGATAAACCATCTTACATACATAATTATGCTTATTCAAAACCTTCAAGGCTAGCCCTTCTTGCTCTAGTCCGGTTTTTTTACATAAACATATTATTACAGTATCTGATATATTCTGAGTCTATAATACGTATTTTATTTATAAAACTCTAGTGACAAACGATCTCACAGTCCACCTGATAGTGGCTGCTGCAGCCCATGGATATCTACATCCAACTTCAAACAAAGACGAATACGGATGCGTTGTCACATCTTAAGACCTAGATGGATACTACACAGCCTGTTAATACATTGCCTTTCTACATACCCTTCAGACCGGAACACAATAGTGCTAATGAGTGTACCAACCACACCTACCCAAAATGTAATATTAACACAACATAAAAAATCACTTAGTAACCTTTGTGTTGCTCTTATATTATTCAAGTCTCCATTAGCATTTTCTTTTTCCTCATCTTCCTGCTGAAGACGTGTTTGTTTTTTCACAGTTTGCTTCGCTTCTAGCTCCGAAAATACTTTTTTAAATAGATCCTTATAAAATCAAGAGAGTAATTGTATTTAAAATATTTGAAAACATTTATTTTAATTTTCCAAGTAGTTAGAGAGTTATATATAAACAGTTTCTTGTTCATTTTTAAAAGCAAATGCTATCATTTGCTTTTAAAAATGAACAAGCGTTATATTTTTAAATAATGCCACTTTGCGCAGGTCCTCATAGATTTTTATTAAATTACTTTATTTTTACAAAGAACAATTAGTCTCGATGATCTTCGCTTTTCCAGCAGCTTTAAATACAAGTAAGGTTGTAGAAATGAAAATGAAGTATTGTAATGAAGGGGTCCTTAATTGAAATATATACAGGTTGTTAGTGTAAACACCGTTGTCCTTGAAACCAGTGGTTTGGTTTCACTTATAGAACGTAAATTCAATGAAAAATAACAACATTTTTTTAATAAAATCTCAATTTTTCCTTAATTCCTCAATTTTTGCTTGTCCTAAGCGAGGATGAAAGTATGAAGGAAAAGTTACATCGCAGGTTATGTGTACCTATTGTGTTTTTATGTTGAATGTTGTGTAGATAGCTAGCGCGGGCGGTGATATTTACAGTGATTACGTCACTTGGGCGCATAGGGTATCCATGAATTCACGGACGGTGTCGGACAGAAACTTCTTAAATTTTATGAAAGAAAATAGAGTTTTTTTTTAAATTCATTGAATTTACGTTGGTTGCGCGGAAAACCATTCGCGTTTTTTATTTTGACGGTAGGAACTTGTAGAATCATTATTTCCTTTCCAAACAATATCATTCGTACCCTCCTATCGACACATCGGGGTGGTGGGGTGGGAGGGGAAAGAAGACGATTCTAGAACATCGCGTAATCACCCGAGCCGAGGATATATAAGACACGCGCGACCGATGCGCGAGCCTCTTCTCCCGCCGCAGTCGTCGTTGAACCAACTCTTCTCTCCTGACGCACCACTGGGGCCCCAGAAGTGTCTGTCCAGAGGAGGTTCCGGAAGTCGCCGCTATAGTGATCGACAGGAAGAAGAAACCCCGGTGAGTCAATATTCCTTAATTATACCTGCTTGCTAATAGTTTAACCCGCTCCAATCTGTGTTTTTTTTCCTAGTCAAGCAGGATTCCTTTCATCGATTCGACAAGTAATAGTTTAGTTTAGGGAAGAGCGAGTGCATTGTACCGCATGCTATAGTAGTCGCCTTATGTAAGCGTAGAAGCAATCGCATATACAGTCCACTTTAGTTAATATCTCGCGTAATAGGTTTGAGGTTTGACCGGGGAACTAGATTTTCGGCAGCCTTAAACACGTGGCTCCACCATTTTATGGTCACTTCGGCAGGATCTGGATTGGTGTTTAGTGGTTATCCAACCATTTTCTGGTCGAATTATTAAATTAATTGTTTAGATAACGCACTCTAATTTATAGAATAGACTTAAATAGTGTTCGTTTAAATTAAAATTTTGATTTGTTACTCGCAAACAGAATTATTCATTTAATAGCGCTCGTATTTGGTTAAATTTAAAGCTTATTAAATAATTGAAACGGCGTGATAGCAACCGTTTGATACGCTTACCCCACAATTTTATAAAATTATTAGGTTTAGCAAACGACGCGTAGCCTTGACTGCATCGGGCGCTCGATCTGATTACGTAATACGGCACGCCGAGTATTCATCCTACGTCGTTTATGCGTGTGAGATTAATTGTGATTAATATAACTTTATTATAATAATTTAAAATGGCAGTTAGTGGAAGTGAAATCAAAATTAAAACGCTTTATGCCAAGAGGGACATACTCTTTTTCGCGTATGCAGAATATAAGTGATTATATAAAGAACATTCATATAGAGGCAGTACGGGAGGCCTTTTTAAATGAAATCGAAACGATAGATAATTTGCGGACAGATTACGAAAGAATATTAGATCAAATTAATCATTCGGAACTACAAACCGACCCGAAATACATAGTGAACTACCAACCGCTGCTGGCATTCGAAGATATGTTGTGTCGCGTGAAGAGAACCGCAAAATTGCTACAATCTCAAGGTGAAGCGAAGCCTGAAATGCAGGTACGCCCTCGTGACTCAATTAGGTTACCGCCAATAGATATTCCGGTATTCAATGGTGATATTAAGACGTGGCCCTTCTTCTTCAGTAGTTTTCAAAACAATATACACAACAACCCATCGTTATCGGACGCTGAAAAATTATATTACTTAATTAGCAAACTTAGTGGCAGAGCACAGTCGATCTGCTCGGGTTTTACACCTACAGCAAACAATTACGTATTAATATTTGAAACGCTTAAAACTAAATATGAAGATAGGAGAATGTTAGCTTCCGAATATTTGAACCAGATATTCGATCTTAAACCTATATCATCCGCGAACATCAACGGCTTAGAGCAGTTTCTCGATAAATTTGTGGCATCGGTGGCTGCACTTAAGAATTTGAAGTTTAATGACCTCATGGACGTGGTGTTTCTCCATATAGCATTAAAGAAATTAGACTCCGACACTGTGCGTGCGTTTGAAATGGAGCATCGTAGCTCGGAGATGCCTTCCTTTCATTCATTAGCATCGTTCGTGCGAGATCAAATAAAGGTGATGCAGCGCTCACCGAACGTTAAACAGGAGATTAAAAGGTGCGTCGACCGTAGACAGACTCAACCATCTAAAATAGCAGGGTCGTTAACTTACGTAACCGCTACGCCGACATCGCTCCAGCATACTTGTATAGTATGTAAAGATAAACACGGTAATTTATATAACTGTGCGACTTTTCGTAAATATTCACCAAGCGAACGTTATAAGTTAGTAAAAACAAACAACCTATGTTTGAACTGCTTAAGCGATAAGCATTTAGTTGCAAAATGCAATTCGAGTTCCGTATGTAGCAAGTGCGCCAGGAAACATCACACGCTATTACATTTTGAAAATAGCAACATAGCGGCGTCAAGTAAGGCGAATAAGGAATTCACCCCTACTAAGGTCAACGATTCTAGCGGTCGACCTGGTGATGTCGCTCTGTGCTCATTGGCAAATATGGGAGCACAACCTCCTTCAACCGTGTTACTGGGTACGGCGCGTATTTTGGTTAGGGATTCGCGTGGAAACAAACAAAGCGTCCGTGCACTGCTGGACAGCGGAGCCCAAAATAGCTTTATAACACGACAATGTTGTCAGCGCTTAGGCTTAGTAATAAATAGGTCACTTTCATGTCCTGTAGTTAAAGGCATCGGAGGTACTAGTAAAGCGACACAGGGATATATAAATTTAAAATTTTATTCTCGGATAGATCGTAACGTTAACTTTGATATAAATGCACTAGTAGTAGATAGGGTCACTGAACGGTTGCCAACCGTTTCGGTTGACACCTCGGCAATGATTGAATTTAAAAATTTGACTCTAGCAGACGACACTTACGCCGTTCCTGGAAACATAGACATGCTCATTGGGGCATCGCTTTTCCCTCATCTTTTGTTAAACAATAAGGTCAGGGGCAACTCCTCGCATACCGCGCCTTACGCACTGGAAACCGTATTGGGCTATGTGATCCTTGGCTCCGCCCCCATCCTAGATAGTATTTCGGCAGCCTCTTATTGTGGTATGGCTGTCGAACCGCTCGAGTCGTTAGTCCGCAAATTTTGGGAGATGGAGGAGGTGAACGTCCCACCCATAGCTAGTTCAGATGACAGGATATGCGAGGAAATTTACGTCCGCACGACCGTTCGTGATCGCGACGGTAGATATAGTGTAGCGCTACCCTTTAAGGGAGATGTTTTATCTCTCGGCGATTCGCGTCAAATGGCGGAAAAACGTTTCTACAGCTTGGAGCGTAGGATGCTCGCTTCGCCCCAGTTAAAGGAAGCTTACGACGGCGTCATTAACGAATATATAAGAGAAGGTTACATATCACTTGTGGCTTCGAAATTAGATAACTACGAAGACACACCGTCGTATTTTATACCACACCACGGAGTCATTAGAGAGGACAAACTTACATCTAAATTACGTGTAGTGCTCGACGCTAGTGCTAAAACTAGCACTCACCTGTCGCTTAACGATATCCTCTATAGTGGGCAAAATTTACAGGGCAGTTTATTTGATATAATAGTCAATTTTCGTTTGTTTAGTATAGCACTATCCGCCGATATTCGCCAAATGTTTCTTTGCATAGGGGTCCGTGAATGCGACCGTAGATTCCAGCGCATTTTATATCGTTTCCACCCAAAGGAACCTCTAATGGTGTTAGAATTTAACCGCGTTTGTTTTGGTTTAAAGTCGAGCCCATTTCATGCGTTACGCACGGTGAGACAGCTCGCTCACGATGAAGGTCCCTCTTATCCTAAAGCTAAGAGGGCAATTGAGAGCGGATTATATATGGATGATTTTGTGTATTCGGTCGATAGCGTGGAGGAGGCCACCCTAACCACCGCCGAGGTTATAAGGCTCATGAAATCGGGTCAATTCGATCTTGTGAAGTGGACTAGTAATTCGCGTCCGGTTTTAGATACAATCCCACTATCACACCGTCTTTCGGCGATAAAGGAATTCGACGATTCCGATACACACAAGGTGCTCGGTCTGTGTTGGTCACCAGAGTCCGACGTGTTTAGCCTTAAGGTAAATCCGCCCGTAGAGAAATGCACAAAGCGCACAATACTGTCATGCGTTGCTAGATTATGGGACGTCATGGGTTTCGTAGCTCCGGTGGTATTATACGCTAAGCTTTTGATTAAACAACTTTGGTTATTTGAATGCGATTGGGATGACTCGCCGCCTGACAGCATTGTTCGATTGTGGCAGCGCTTTAGAGAGGAACTTCCTTTACTAAGAGAAATTAAAATACCGCGTCATATAAATGTCGATAGAAATAGCAGCATAACGGTTGTTGGATTTGCAGACGCCAGCGAGAAGGCTTACGGGGGCGTTGTATATTTCCATGTCCAGAATAATGGTAGAAATTCGATTAGCCTCATTAGTTCTAAGTCGAGAGTCTCCCCCGTAAGGTTGTCTCTCTGGCGCGCTTAGAGCTTTGCGCAATATTAGTACTCACCAAGCTTATTACCACAGTTATCGGCGCATGTAGGGATAGAGTTCACATAGAAAGAATATTTGCCTTTTCCGACTCCACCGTCGCCTTATGTTGGGTTCATTCTTCACCCCACCGTTGGGATACGTTTGTCGCGAACCGAGTGGCCAAGATCCAAGACGAGTTAGAAACGCGGAACTTTTATCACGTGTCCGGTAAGGAAAACCCTGCCGATTGTCTATCCCGGGGACTCACCCCGATGCAAATAATGGACCACCCGCTTTGGTTCCATGGACCTTCTTGGGTTTACTTGGATCCCTCACAATGGCCAATAACCGATTTCGAACCTTCGTCAGTGTCACAACCGCCGGAAGAGAAGAGACACGCTCTAGTGGCGAACGTTTCGAGCGAGGTTTCTCCAATCATTGCTCTGGCGAACCGCTTGTCCTCTTGGTCGAAATTATTGCGTAGCGTAATTTACGTTTGTCGATTCGCGAAGCTTTTACCGCGACGTCCGTATGTCTTAGCATCCGATTACAACTATGCCGAGTCGCTAGTATTACGTGAACTTCAACGTGCGCACTTCTCTGAAGAAATTACAAGATTACAATCGAATAGAGCTTGTAGTCGCGCCTTTCAACGCCTTAAGCCATTTTTACAGGATGGGATTGTAAGGGTAGGTGGACGCTTGTCCAACTCGCAATTGAGTTTCGACCAACGGCACCCTATAGTTTTACCGCGTAAAGACCATATTATGAACTTATTAGTCGATTATCATCATAAATTGAACTCGCACGCTGGCCCCGATTTATTGATGTCGATCTTGCGTCAGAATTATTGGATTCTTTCTGCACGTAGTTTAATACGCAATCGGGTGCACAGATGTATAGCTTGCTTTCGGGCACGCCCCAAGCCGTCATTTCCGGAAATGGCGGAACTTAGATCTTGTAGAGTGATACAATCGGTAAAGCCCTTCACGCACACCGGGTCTGATTTTGCTGGTCCGTTTAAGGTCACGCTCACTCGCGGGCGTGGTATAAGATCCACAAAGGCTTACGTCTGCATTTTCGTATGTCTAACTACTCGAGCAGTGCATATAGAACTCGTTGGTGATCTAAGCACAGCAGGCTTTATGGGTGCATTTAAAAGATTTCTATCGCGCAGAGGCCCTGTAAGTAAATTATATTCGGATAACGGTACGAACTACGTCGGTGCAAAACGTATTCTATCGGAACTACACGAGCTCTTAGCTAGCAAGTATTATAATTCGGAGTTCGCTCACATTCTAGCCGAGAACCGCATTGAGTGGTCTCTGAACGTCCCAGCCGCGAGTCATTTTGGGGGCAATTGGGAGACTAATATTAAAAGTCTAAAGAGCCACTTATACCGAGTAATAGGAGATCAAATTTTGTCCTTCGAAGAGCTAAGTACGGTGCTCGCTCAAATTGAATGCGTAATGAATAGCCGCCCACTTTGTCGGACGTTATCTAGTGACCCCTCGGAACCGCTGGCTCTAACTCCAGCACATTTTTTGACTTTAACGCCTCTAAGGTATCTGCCCGCCGCGGATATGGATGAGAACAGACTTAGCATTTCCACACGCCACAAATTATTAGATCGGTTAGTGCAATCGTTTTGGAAACGATGGAGGATGGAATACTTGCATACTTTGCAGTCTCGGCAAAAATGGAACACAGCGACAGAGCCTTTAGCTGTAGGAACCGTAGTTGTGCTCACTAAGGAGAATACGCCGCCTCTCCACTGGCCGTTAGGAATCGTCGAGGAGGTCTTTCCCGGTTCCGACGGAGTAATTAGGATAGCTCGCGTTAAGACCACGGTTGGGTCTTACCTACGTCCTGTTATCCGTTTGTGCCCCTTGCCTCTTCCATAATTTAAATTAGCTTTCTAGACTGAAATTGTAGTTTAATTTAGGTAATCTTAGCGTTAGTTAGTTATTTGTTAGTCGATCTTAGCTCTAGTTGTTTAGTTATTTTTTTTTTGAAGGAAATCCTTCAAGGGCGGGGGGAGATGGTTGCGCGGAAAACCATTCGCGTTTTTTATTTTGACGGTAGGAACTTGTAGAATCATTATTTCCTTTCCAAACAATATCATTCGTACCCTCCTATCGACACATCGGGGTGGTGGGGTGGGAGGGGAAAGAAGACGATTCTAGAACATCGCGTAATCACCCGAGCCGAGGATATATAAGACACGCGCGACCGATGCGCGAGCCTCTTCTCCCGCCGCAGTCGTCGTTGAACCAACTCTTCTCTCCTGACGCACCACTGGGGCCCCAGAAGTGTCTGTCCAGAGGAGGTTCCGGAAGTCGCCGCTATAGTGATCGACAGGAAGAAGAAACCCCGGTGAGTCAATATTCCTTAATTATACCTGCTTGCTAATAGTTTAACCCGCTCCAATCTGTGTTTTTTTTCCTAGTCAAGCAGGATTCCTTTCATCGATTCGACAAGTAATAGTTTAGTTTAGGGAAGAGCGAGTGCATTGTACCGCATGCTATAGTAGTCGCCTTATGTAAGCGTAGAAGCAATCGCATATACAGTCCACTTTAGTTAATATCTCGCGTAATAGGTTTGAGGTTTGACCGGGGAACTAGATTTTCGGCAGCCTTAAACACGTGGCTCCACCAACGTTCTATAAGTGAAACCAAACCACTGGTTTCAAGGAAACGGTGTTTACACTAACAACCTGTATTTTATTTTATTTTCTAAGTGTACATATAATTGTTGTTATTGTAATTATTTTCTATTGAGGAATAAAGAGGCTTTAATATTATTATTTATTAAACGCTTTTCTTAAAGGTCCCTAAGTCGTATCCGTCCGGAGAAATCGTCGATAAATGATTCCAATAGAGGTTATATAAAGAGTTGTCGCTTTCACCGAGCGATTGCATCTACTCGTCGGTAGTATAGTAAGTCTATGCTACTCGTATATGTGTGAAGTTGTTAGTTTATTGTTTTAATTGTTATATTATGTGAATTACGTAGTGACAGACGATAATTTTTGAATGCACAGGTTACCCTCCGTAAAAAATAACAGACAGTGCCGTGTCGAGGAAAAACGCTATGGCTACTCCCCTCACCTTCGGTCCGCCGGTGGCAGATATTGCTCTTTGGTTGTGTCTCCTTGTCACGTAGTGATTATATCTTGCTTGGCTCTACCATGTAAAAATATAGCCAATGTTGGGTGATGTTTGGCTGTGGGGCCAAGAGTACGAATCTCGCGCGTAACTCATATTTGTATAGGGCACAAATAATTTTACCGGCTCGGGAATATTGTTCATGTGCAATTTATCTATGTATAAAACGATACAGAAGCGATCTAAGTGTAGCATAACTTTCCTAAATAAAGAAAAAAATATATTCAGAGTACGAAAGAGACGATTTGGCTAAATCTATTCTACAAAGAAGTTTACCAAATTTTTAGTTACGTACCGAATACAATACATCTCCCAGTTCGGAAAGATTTTCAATATGTCCTTGAATATATTCATGGATCCCTTTACATATAACTATCTCTTGGCAATCCGGGTTTAAAATACCAGCTTTATAAATAATAATTTCGCATGTTGGCGACTCATACCAGGTTGGAACATTCTCAATTGTTTGTAACGTTTGTTCTCCGTCGATAAGTTGGCCGAATGCTACATACTTCTTTTCCATCCATGGCGCTGGTTGCAGTAATACGAAGAATTGAGTGGAACAGTCTTTATGTCTAAAAACGTAAATTGAATTAAACGTAAATTGCTTTACTTCAAATTTTATAACAAACATTGTAAAACATGTTTTTCGTAATATTATTAACAAGTCGAGTATGGCGATCTACTATCTCCAAAGAACGATGAGCGACTTTAAGCTTTCTCATACTGTCAGCTGTAAAGTACCACGTCTCACTTCCATGTTTTATTACCAGCAACATGCAGTAGTTTTGCACTTTTACTTTAAGGTTTTGAGGAGTACGTGACGAAAATAAGAAGCTCCGTATATTAATATTTTAGTCGAAGTTGTACTAATCCAGTCAAACAGTTCGTCCTAGGTAAACATACTCGTCAACAACCTCGAACGTAGTGTTCCCATTGATGCTGATACCGTATGTGTCAATATGCTCTTTGTCGTAGTATGATATAGTCAACGACCAAGAGCATATAATAGTCAGATTTTTGTTTACATATCACATAGACTGACTGCCTTGTTGTTCTAGTGGTCGTAAACGCGATTTAGTATTAAGAGGTCTCGGGTTCGAATCCCGCGTCAGGACAAAAATCAGTTATTGGGTTTTTTTCTGTTGACAAATTTTCAATATCAGCCCTGAATCAGGCAGTTGACGGTATTTCACACCCGTGGCTCAGAAAGCCATTAGTCCTGAGCCTGATCTCCCGGATTACGAGACTGTTAGAGTGAGAAAATAGAGAGAGCACCTGTGTTTGCGCATACACGTGAGCAATATGATCCTGCCCTGGGCATATGACTAGTCTCCGTTAAGACTGGCCACCGAGACCGAATTTCGGTCTGGATTATTATTATTTATTACATATTATACTTACATAAAGATTATATTATTTATTACAAATTTTTGGCGTGGTCACACAGTCACACAGTATCTCACGTAAATCATCAAGATACTTATGTATTGATGTTTTATTATTATTTTTAAAATGGAATGGAATATTAAATTAAATTGTAGGTATAGTATACTCATTTGTTTTCGTTAATGTATTTTTAATTTTGTTAACTAAGTATTATAGACGTTATGGGCAGCAGGGGTGGTAAGTAACAAAAACTCACATATAGCCACGTGGTAGAGCCATGGTGCTTATTTTTTTTATATGAGAGGGGGCAAACGAGCATACGGCTCACCTGATGGTAAGTGATTACCGCCGCCCATCAACAAATGCAACACATGGGGAATTGCGGATGCGTTGCCGGTCTTTTAAAAAGGAGTAGGCTCTTTTCTTGAAGGCCCCTAAGTCGTACCGGTTCAGAAAAATCGCCGGTGGTGGTCGATTCCACAAAGAATTTGTTCGAGGAAGAAGATTTCTTGTAAATTGCTCAGTAGTAGACCGCCAATCATCCAGGTGGTAAGGATGGTATCTCGAGTTCTGTCGCAATGTGCTATGGGGAAATTGAGCAGCTGGAATTAAACCGAACAATATCTCTGAGCACTACCCGTGGCAAATACGATAGAATATGCAAAGAGATGCAACATTTCTTCGCAGCACCAGTGAGTCAAGCCGATCAAAAAGTTTTGTAAAGTTACAGGTGATGTGCCAGCATGAAACAATGTCTCGCTCTGCTGAGCACGTCAAGCTTTCTAGAGGCAAGGTGGAGGCCTTCCATGTGACCACGAAACCACGTCATTCAATATGTCGACGCCATGGATTCCGATACTGACTAAGGTAACAAGGGGAGTGCCCTGAAACTGGTTCAACAAAGGAGTTCCTTTTAGCGGCAGACGTGCAAACTTGTGTCTTCTGGGGATTGAAATGGACTAGATTTAGTCGTCGCCAATCGGAGACTTTGTTTAACAATGTCTCGACTTCAGACACAAGTTTGTTCCGGTACTCGGCGACGTTTTCCCGAGAAATATTAGCAAGGCCCGTACATAAAGCACCACCAGTGCAGTCGGTTGTCCACTGGTGATGCTTTATCTCATCTTTATTTAGTGAATACTAACGATTTGTAATATATCATTGATATACAGAAGAAATTGCGTGGTAATAACACGCGGCCTTGTGGAACACCAGCGTTAATAGGCTTGTAATCGGAGCATGCATCGTCCACTACAACCTCGATCAGCCAGAAAACTGGTGATCCTATTGTACAATTTCTCGGGAAACCCTTAGGAAGGAAACTTCGAAATAAGCGCTTTGTGCCATATATTCACGTTGCAGCTACGTTATGGTTGTAGCACAAATAGTTAGACCCGACCGGAGAAGGACCAAGCTCTCACAGCATACCAACATGAAATAGCAGTGTATTGCTGCTGTGTTTCGTACAGTGAGTGTAGAGAACTTAAGATCCTTTTCTCACTGGAAGTATATATTAATATTATATAGTAATATTGTCAATTTTATTTATTTGTATAGGTTACAAATTAAAACGTCGTTGCGCTCTTACCCCTAGGCCTTGAGGACAAAATTAGATGAAAGTCTGGTTAGCAGTAAAATGACAGTATGAAAAAATAAATAAGAAAGGGACATAACCAAATAAAACTTATCCTTATCGCCAATTTGTGTTTATTGAATCGGTCACCTGCCATCATTTGCCATACATAGTTCTCCGCGTCGATCATGAGGTACTATAAAATTTTCACAATCTAATTGAGTGTCCTTTAATCCAAACCCTCCGCATTGGATCCAACAATCCTTGACTATACGGTGAACAGGTGTTCCGGCATATCCGCCTCTTCTTTCTTTACACAGACGCATGAAGTTCTCGCATGTTCGTGGTAATATATCAGAATACAACTAAAATTTTAGATACTGATCATAATAACTAAGTAAAAACTAAAAAAAAATTGACACTTTGATCGTTTTAAAATACTTATACTTACCATAAAAATCATGGTTCCACTGTGATCACCGTTTATTGAGAAGTGCATATAGACGCATGGCCTCTGAAAATAGAAGTCAATTATTGGTAACTGCAATTATAGGGAAAAGGAGCTTTTGTAGAATCAAACATAAGGTTAGTTCAAAGTTCAAATCATACGAGTGACATTTTGGACAGCACACTGGTTAATTTTCTGGGTGAGACTTTTTACAGCCCTAATTTGGCATCGTCAGACTATACCCTAAAATAAAAATCTGCTGATAAGAATACACTTTTAATTCGAATAGCGTTCGAGGAGCGTTCAAACATGTGGTAGAAGTGACTAAACCGAACTGGAAAAAGTGTTTCAAAATCTGGTTCAAGCGCATAAAACTTTGTATAGATACTGGTGGAGTACTTAAAAATTTTTTTTTGGTTTTTCATAACTTTTATCCAGCAAGCATATCCATTACAGGTGATCACTTCATTTACCGAATAACAACGAAATTGAAAATATTGACAAGCAAGGAAATTTAAAAATTGCAAGAAACAATATATGTAAAGATGATAATTTTGTACAAATTACGCCTGAAATTGTGCAGTGAGCCATTAAAACTATCTATTTCATTACAATGTTGTTGAAGATAATTATATTCACTACGCATTCTTATTAGGAGTGAGTAAGAGCCTGTTTAAGTTTTATAAAGCGGAATGCGGAATAAATTGGACACAATTTTTAGACCCTAAAACGTGGAATCCTTGGCGATATAGAAAATTTCTAGATTTGAAATTAGGTAAGTATTCAAATCTTATTGATTAAGCAATATATTGTTTCCATTTTTTTGAACATGCATAAACTATACTTATACATAAACATGCACGCCTGTCATACAGAGGAGTAGGCAGAGAATGAGGACTTCCATTTGGCACAATCCTGACTGACGCATACACACTCGTCGGTTAAGGGTACTCTCAATTTAGAACATCTTCAATATGTCGCCACTTTGGACGGTAAATAGATTGAATAGCTTCGGAGAAGCTATGCAACCCTGTCTACGCAAACCTTTATAGATGGCAAACCAGTCCGAGTCCTTTGACACAAGCACTAGAGTCCCTATAAAGCGACTTTAATGCCTGTAACAGCCCTTCGTTCAACTCAAACGAGGCCAGCGTTTGTCAAAGCAACCCTGTCCACTTGATCATAAGAATTTTCCAAGTCCATAAATGTAGGTGCAGAAATGTTTCTGTTTATGGTCAAAAACTACTCTGTAATATTGCACATAAAATTGCCTGATCCTCATCCGGTCTTTTTTTTTGCGCATAATTCATTATTTGTAAGTTCTTTTAAAAAACTACAATAAAATATGCATCAACGTAAACGTTAGTCTTTCATATGCACATAGCACTTACACAAGAAGTGTCGATGTACTCCAAAAACTCTGCAATGGCTTCATTGTAGTAATCAGGGCATATATGATATGTATACTTTGATTCAATCATTTCTTTTAGTTCCTTTTTTCCGCCCAGAAATTGATCGTTGATAAGAACTGCAACCTGATTGGATAAGCAATACGCTAGTCCACCATATTTCACTTTTAAATCATCCCATACTTGAGGCCATTCAACTCCATTAACACCTGGCGATTAATTACTAGCATATCAAAAAACGATAAACATATAATTCACTAGCTTTTAAACGCAACTTAGCTTAAAAATTGAACAAAAAAAAACCTGCTGATATATAACAATTCTTTGGTTTTCTGGGACAATGTTTGGACTAGAATGATGCAGTAATCAGTATGTGCCGTGAAATTGAAGCTCATCTCCGATGCACTGCACTTCGATTATTACTTATTGGAGTATGATACTTTTTAATTGTCTTACTTTGGGCAAGACAAAAGTCAAATACACAAACACTTAAAGACAGTTTCTTTGCGATTGTTTCGAAAACTATGTTAGATACGGAAAAAAATAAAAATCGAATCTCTTCAAACTAGGTAAGACACATCATTTTATTTAATTGAGCGGATGGCTGCGAAGTAACTATTAATATCTTTATTATGAAAATCGAATATCTACTTATATTATTATTATTACGTAAAGGTCTTTTCACTCTATACTGCAACACTTATTTTTGTTGTAAATCGGCGATGAAGTATAAATGTGTTAAAATAAGATTTAGAATAAAAACTTTAAGGGATAGAAGATAAAGAATGAGTGATGATGAGATAAGATGAAAAATTTTTGTTTGATCCTTTTTATTTCTCATAATTTAATAGATAATCATAATAATCGATTTATTACATTAGTTTGTCGATTACAAAAACATCCTCCCTATTTTTCGGTTAAAATATAGTCTAGATTTCCCCTGGCATTGCTCCTTATCCGTTCGGAAGTTTAATGAAGCGGCGTTAGTCGTCCTATGAATTTCGTAAGAGGTGAGAGGTGACTTTCTTACGCGGTAGAGTCATGCTGGAGCTATATTACTGGAGTAGTTATAGCACGGATAGGTCGGCTCGACCGGGGAAGGACCACGCTCTCACAGCATACCAGCGTAAAATAGCAGCTTAACGCTACTGTTTTTCGTGTGGTAAGTGTAGAGAACCGGTTACCCTTTTTACTGGAAACGAGGCATTCCATCTTAGTCCTCAAGGGTGACAACGCATATGCATTTTGATTCGTAATAGAGGATAGATGTAGGTGTCCATGGGTTACAGCATCCACTTACCATCAGTTGGACTGTATGTTCGTTTGTCACCTTTATCCTATAAAAAAAGTGACTCTGGGAAAGGACAATATTACCATAACCAAAGGATAGTTTTTACCATGTATATGCCAGATTTTAAATATACAAACCAGCAACGATGAGTTGCGTAAAAAGTGAGACACGTTCGCCGCTGCGATCGCCAATCCGTTTACCGAGCGTGGCAATTAAGGCATAGGTATTATTCGACAATGACTATAATTGAATGTGTAGTGGCGGTGTAATTCATTACCCCTACTGTACCGTGGGTGACGTATGAGGCGACAGTGGGAAACATCTCTGGGGTTTCCATGCACAGTGCAACGCCTTCCTAATAAAAATAAAACAATACAGAAAAAAAAATGACTGCGGCAGTTGCCAAACCGGCCTTCAAGCGTGGCAATTATGTCAAATCCCCCTTCGAGGCAATCTATGGGGGAAATCTATGTTCAACGGTAGACTTTGACAGGCTCTTATAGTAAAGGAATTCGTAGAATGGGGGGACCTATGTCCAGCTTTGTACTGTTACTGAAAAAGTAATAATAATAATGTCCTCTAGACAGTTTAAGTCACGGCGGCCATACTCAACGGACACTAGCCATCGGCGCAGGACAGGTTTATAGTGCCCAAGTATATGCTTAGGCCATCGCATGAAAACACATTGTATCTCACAAGTAATACATATTATATTAGATTGTTTAGTGCGATTGCCAAGTCAATCTATTTATTTAAAACATAAAAGATTTTTAATATTGATATGATCACTATAGGACGTTGTTAGGTTAGCAGTTAGCTAATTACGTAATAACTTAAAACAGAAGAAACCTTCATTAGTGACCAAATAAATTAACCGACTTGGTATTACATGGATCTCACAACTTTTAACGGTAGATGAACAACTAAGTTGCGAGACTTTTTTTTTACAAGTTATGTTTTTGATTGCATCTCATTTCTTTTTGTAGATAGTCCTACTTTTTTCCTTTCCGGTACCTTCTACTTTTTGTACCTATTATTCCATTATATTATACATATTCAGGTACACTGATTCATTCACTGCAAATGTGTATAGGATTACAAAGTTATTTATGCAGTTGGTTTATCTAGAAAACTGGACCAAAATTGTAAAATATTTTAGTTTTTCTTTAATTAATACACTAAACACTAATTGTGTTCTAAATTGGAAGCTGCTCTGTCTGCTCGAAGTACCTTAGAGTTTTGATGATCGGTCAGTCAGTCAGTGCGTGAGTGACAAAATAAAGAAACTTTGACTAGTTAAAAGAATACTGCTGAACGTAGGCCCGCCCAAGATTACCTCGTAAAAGGAATATTTTTATAGTTACGAGTTAACTACTGGTACAAATTGAATAAAATTTGAAATATATCGTGTTTATATAATGCCTGCTTTGTTATTTCATTATAAATTCAAGCTTCTAAGTTTATCCACAACGAAGTTATAGGGGGTCAAATATGGCCTGAAATTCCTCGAGAAAAGGATGTTACGGCCGTGCCTTATTTTTTGCTCAACTTGACGGGGACACTGCCGTGCTCCCAGATTTATAATAAAAGTGCAAGACATTGTATCACTATAACATTAAAATTCTAGGATATGGGATATTAAATTATAACGTTTTTGGATATAGGTACCTCGAATGGTAGGAGCATCAAAATATTTTCTTCTATATTTATAAACACCTTTTACTAATTTCACACAATAAATGAATTCCTCTGTAACCCTATTCCCAATTACAGTAAATTTAACAGGATTTGTATTTCTCTCTGCTTTTTTAGGCATTGTTTGTCTATAATGGGGATTGTTTACAGAATTATGTGCATATTTAATATAGGATGAAAATTCGTCCTTTATTGTTACTTCCCAAGGATGTTTTGTAAGATTTTTTCTTTTAATTCGCATTTCATTTTGATAAAACGTCATCCCTTTATTATTTTATTGTTATAGACAGGAAAGGACAAAAAAAATATAACCGACATTAAAACAAAAGATTTTAATCACAGAATACCATAGATTAAAATATTTATGACTATTTTAACCACCAGGAAAAAATAGGGTATAACCACCGACCTCTATATATACACTTGTATATATGGAGGTCAGTGGGTACAACAGGTGAACGGAGTAGAAGCCATTGTAGATGGCACTGATATTTTACAAGAAATTAAAAACAAAATTTCGAATTAAATAAATAAATCAATTAAAATCTATCGAAATTCTAATCATAGCCCTACTTTACGAGCGGCAATAAAACAATTTAGTAGGCCTCTTTGTAATGTCTTTTCGCAGGGTCACTGGCTCAAGAACAAAGCCGCTCGCGATCTCAACTCTCATTTCAGTTACCTGTGGTTAGTTGAGGTCTGACGTCATGTCGCCGTCGTATTGTTTATGTTTCCGCATATGTACCTATCGTAAGTAATGACGAGCCGATTCGGTGATAGGTGGATAAGTAGCGGTTGACCTGTGAACTAGCTGGCAAGATCACCAGACCTAACACCTCTAAATCTTTATTTGTGGGCCGAGCCAAAACGATTAATGTACACAGAAAAAGCACAAAGTGTTAGTGATTTAAAGCAGCGTATAATAGAACTATTTAATGCGGTGAAAATGATAGCAACACGCTTCGAAGTTTAACAAACAATTTACAACAACCTGCCAATTTGTGTTTGGAAGGAACCTTAAATTACTTGCTACACTACTTTACGTGGTGGAGCCACGCTGCGGCTATAATAGTTGTAACACGAGTGGGTTGGCTCGACCGGAGTAGAACTACGCTCTCATAGAATACCAGCGTAAAATACCAGCTTAAGGCTGATGTGTTTCGTGTAGAGAGTGTAGAGAACCGATAACCCTTTTTACTGCAAACGAGGCATTCTATGTTAGTCCTCAGGAATGATAACATATCTGTATTTTTATTCTTAATCGAGGATAAATGTAGACGTCACACACACGTCGCCACAGCATCGATTTGCCATCGGGTGGACTGTGTGCTAGTTTGGCACCCATATTTTATTTAAAAAAAACATCGTAGCAGTGCCCAACGTTCCGTGACACAAACCCAGTGTCGATTAAACAAATACAGTTATTATTCTCTGTTGGACACATACTAAGCCTAAGGATAATGGAGTGTAGAAGTAAGGAGTACGGACTCTGTATAAAAGTGTCCGTAGGAAAGCGCTAAATAGGTGGCGCCACTGTAGCTACAGTCTAAATTTTAAAGTACTTTTTATAATTTTTTATTGCATAATAGACTTTCACCATAATTCATTTTAGAATAATTATTTTATTGCTTTCAAAATTTTTATTTTCAAAATCAACCAACATATTTTACGGCGATTTATCATACCCTGTAGCTACTCGAGCGCTGTTGTGGAGAATTTTTGAACCGTTATTTACTGCCTACGGAAGGACACATATTCAACTATTCTCCTATGGGAGATTGTCCTCCTTAGCTCCTTGCCTCTATATTCCATGCTAAGGATAATTTAGCTGAAGTTGGGGCGGGAATTTAGCCGTAGACGGATTGTCCCTCCTGTTTTGTCGCTTGAATAATGGTTTGAAGTAGTTTTTCATTCGTAAAAGTGATGTGATATTGTGAATTAATTATCGTGCGTGTGAGCTATTAGAGATAACGACGAAACAAGATGTCTGATGTCGATATAAACCTCAAGTTATTTTGATCGCTTGGGCACCTTATGAACTTTAGTGGCTGCCGTCATCAACTGTCCGCTGGTTTGAGCTGTCGTCAAAATATCTCAAGGGCTTCGCAATGTGATCCATCAGCATATTGTGAAGAAAAAGAATATAAAAATGAAGGTTCCGAAAGAAATGATAGAACCCAGAGCCAGTAAATAAAAAAAATGCTGTCAAATTGACAAATATTTGTTTATAAGTGAAATTGTGAATGGTTATAAAATTTTAATCGAATTCAATTCATATAGTTAAATATTTCATTAATTTTAAAATGTAGCAGTTGTTGTGCTAGAATCAAGCAGGCTTTATAATTAGAGTTTTAAGAGATATCTACTTAAACAGTTGACCTAATACAGGACTACTTTAGAGGGTATTAATGATGGATACAAGTCCATCAAAACGTTTTTCAAAACTTTCAGAAGAATTATGCAGTCTTCTCTCTGTTACTGTTAAAGAACGCAATAAGGAAAATCTAAACGTAGTTATAGATGAATTAAATGCTTTACCTTATAAGGCTGAATTATTTATTCCCAAACATGTAAGTATATTTGGGCGAATCCATTACATTCACAATACATTCCTTTTTCATTACTTATTACTTATTAAATATATTATACAGATGTTAAATATTAAAATTAACCAAAATACTTTTATACTAGTTAAAACCTTGGGATAGAGTCTTACTTATAAGTAGTAGCTGATAAAACCAATTTTTTAAATTTCAGGAAGCTGGTGCATTAATCAATGTATTGTGCTTTAATGTAAAGCCAGTTGATGAATTCCTTGCAGCAAAGACGTCACATTTAATAAATAGCATTATTATTAAGCAAAACATACAGTTTAGTAGTGAATTTTTGTGGAAAGTCATGTGGTGGCATATTGAATGTTTGAAGAAATGTTCTGAATTTATTTTGCCTGATATATTACACAATTTGCAATGTATTATGCAATCGAATCTGCAAGCAACCCATAAGGTATCTAATATGATTATTTAATATAAGTAGTAATAAATAACTTAGCTAATACAGAAGTACATGTAATTGTGTTGTTATTATATTCTCTATACTAACTATTTTGAAACTAAAGAGTATTCCTTCGTAATAGTTCATAATAGTGTTGGTTTTGATGGCAAAATTATAACACTGCTCTAAAGAATAAAGAAAAGTGTTAGAAATTATTTTTAAAATATGGAAAAGGAACTTTCTTGGTTTTCTAGAAAAAAATATTAATACAGTATATAATGAATGTTTTAACTGAAAGTTATATAATAACTCTAAAAAATTATATGAGTAATACAAATAGAAATATAAATGAAAGTTATGTTTGCATTTATGACAGAAACATTGTACATTTCTTATATGTAGCCATGTCTATTTTAATTACTACTGCCTAATGACCATGGACTATTCTATGAGTTGACAAAACATGATTCTTAAAAAATCAATTACTTCATTGTTTTGGCTCACATAATTTACATACAGCCTTATTACATAACATGATTTATCAATAAACTTGGATTTAAAATATGGTTAAAAAGTCTCTTCTTCACAAAAGAAATTGCCCTAATGGCGACTCATAACCCTGCAAAATTTGACAATTTTTATGTTTTACATTTAAATTTACATATTTTCCTTGGTACTTCTTTATTGAAACAGTAAAGTTAAGTTACAGCCTATATATGTCCCACTGCTGGGCACGGGCCTCCCCCCTCATTTCTGAGAGGGTTTAAGGCAAGGAAGTGTCTGCAGCGCTGCCCTAATGCATGTTGGCGAACTTCACATGTCTTCGAAATATATTTTTTCTTATTCTTTAGACATGCAGGTTTCCTCATAATGTTTTCCTTCACAGCCGAGCATGTGGTAAATCAGCACTTAAAATTGCAATTCACAATTTCATTGGTGCCGGCGGGGATGGAACCCGGGTTACTCATATTCTGTTTTATTTACAGGGAGCGTTAACCATCTGAGCTACCACGGCACTTATTGAAACAGGCTAAAGATATCTAAATATCATTTTTAATAAGACGGATAGTGTTTTAAGAAAACCTGACAGTTCCCATTTTAGTTGTGATGTATTTTTTTGACATAAATTGCCCCTTTTATAAAGGAAATGCTCATTGCTAAATAGAAAATTCTAGTTATCACAGGCATACAAGCATAATATATTTTGTGGAATTTTTAAGCTATTGCATAGCTTCTATCGCGGGCCTTGAGCGCGGGGACCGAATCCAGAAATTCCGTAACGAAAAAAAACCTCACGCTCCCCACTCCGACGGGCACGGAGGTGTGGCGTTGAAAGCCGTGCATCGTCTAACGTCGTTTCAGTTCGGCAGACTTCGGCACTCGGCAGACTTCGGCATGGTGTTTGTGTGCGTGCGACTAGACGTATGCGTGTACACTAGCTGCTAACTCATTGATAAAAATTCCTGAATAACCTACATGTATTGTAAGATATTAAAAATATTTTAAACAATATTAACTTCTCATTTATTCAATAAGAGAAAAAAATTGTTTTCTTATCTGTCACCACGCTCAAAAAGTGTAACTTGATTTAATATCAAAGACTTAACTGCATAAATAAAATAAATAAATAATTATAATTGCATAAGTTGATAAAAAATGCTATGCAATAGCTTTACCGCGGCAGTCACCAAGTGCCACACATATTTTTTTTTATTTATTATCCTAAAAAAGTATTTATTTTTGGAGCAATTCTGCAATAATCCATTATGTAGTAGTGAATGTGGTAGAGTCACGCTGCAGCTATATTGTGGCTGTAGCACAAATGAGTGAGCTTGATTGGGGAAGGACCGTACTTTCACAGAATACCAGTGTAAAATAACAGCTTAATCATACTGTGATTTGTATGGTGAGTGTAGATAACTATAAACCCTTTTCACTGGAAATGAGGCATTCCTCAGCAGTGATAACACATCTGCATTTTGATTCTTAAACGAAGACAGATGTAAATGTGTACTGGCAACAGCATCTACTTACCATCTGGTAGACTATGTTTTTCAATTTTTTACCGCTAATATTCAAATTTTTTTTATTACTGTAAAATATATTTTTCTATTTCACAGTTTGCAG